TAGAAAAGGGGACCTTTCATAGGGACATTATGTATGCTGGACTTAGGTCCCTCGCTGGACTCAGACTGCCACAGCCCTTCTGAATTTCTTTCATGTTTCAACTACTCCAAAATTTGCTATTCAAAGAAAAATATCAAACAGTTACGTAGGTAAGAGTCTGAAGGATGTACACAGAAAAAATAAAGAGATGGGGACCTGTACTGTAAAATCAGTGATATCCTCATTTGCACTGAAGATAAAACCACTAAAAATTAAAAGCCCATCTGTTTTCGAGTGTGTGTTGATAGCATTGCCTGCATCTGACAGCAGTACAGCACTGCACCAGAAGGAAATGGCAGTTTTGCCACTTATAAGCGAGGCAAGTGTATTGTTCAAGTGACAACAGCACTCTGAGTGCGGGGCTTGCCAAAATGTCTCTGCAGCTTACCTCTCCTGGCAGGAGAAAGTCTGCCTCTAAGTTACAGACAGAGGGCAGAACACTGTGGATTTTGTGACCTGGCTCCTTGACCTTCTTTCCTGTGTCTGAATGAGCAAGAGATAAAGGACTAGCTAAAGAGCTAAGAGACATTATGCCATCCCATCTCTTGCCAGTTTTCAACTTGAATCAATAGGCCTTTCTGGGGTCAGTCAGCACACAAACCTGCTGACTCACAAATGCTTGCAGCAGGGGTTACCCTTCACTTCTTTATGCTACACGCTGTCAGCACAGTCCATAACACCATTTTCATAAGGAGTTTAACACCTTTTTGAATCTGACAGTTGTAAATGAAGATGTACCTGGGCTCAGCATTTTTCTATTTCAGTGAAAAATACTCTTATCTTCAGAAATCTGCTGGGGATATCCATGTGTGTAACAGTATGCAACCTCTACCACAGGACACAGCAAAAGACCAAAGACTCTAACCATGTAGGAAATGAGTAACAAACATCACTAGACATCAGGAAGCCGTGCGACATTCAATGGCACACAGGAGAATAAAGAGCATAACAAGTAGCATGGGGCTACTCCTACAATTGCTAGATAGGACACACAAAGGCAAAAGACAGTATGTTTGATGACAGGCATTTACACTGTAGACTGTCACTTCTATTAAACAGAAACATTTTTTTGCTGAATGAAATGCCATCCTACTCATCTCAGATCTTTTATGTGATGGTGATTAGACAGGGAAGTTGCCTGTGTTAGAAGAATGTTCTTACGATAAAGTGCAGAGACAGGAAACTGGCTAACATAAAATGCCACAAAAAGTATATGTTGCCTCAGAACTATCATGCTTAGAAAAAATATGACTATTCACATGACTTGTGCATCACTGATCAGAAAAAAAAGAGCCTGTGTACTATAAGGGACAGAGACAGGGATGACTTGCTGATACAATTATATGCACAGAAACACAACTCTATGTGAAAAACTGAAGGTAGAATTTCATCTCAAAAGCTTCACTGCAAGGCAAGCTTGCAAAGACTGTCAGATGAAGAAAGACTGAAAGGAGCAAAAATATTTACTTTAGAAAAAGAGGAATAATGGAAAAGCAGAAAAAAAAAGTATATAAGGTAATGAATGGTACAGAAGCTGGATTTGGAGGACCTCTTCTTGCTAAAAGACAAAATCAGTCAAATTGAAAGGCAAAGAAATCAGGACTTGATGATTGCAACAGTTTTCGACCTGAACTTCTACCTGACTGCAAAACCTTTTGCTGTAGATTGTAGCTAATTTACCAAGAGCTGAAATACCGTCTTATGACTATGTGGAGAACTGGATCATGAAGATTTACAGCAGTTAAGAAAAAGTGAATTTTAGAAGAATTTGACAGGAGCATTGTTTTGGGCTGTAGTTTGTACTGCTGTATTTGGGCATTACCTGCACTGCTGCTTTTGGAAGGGATAAACACGCACCTCCCAGAGACTATTACCCTGGGGGCTCGTGCACCTTCTGTCAGACATCTGATACTTGACAGAGAGTGACTACTGAACTGAACAGGTCAGAAATAATATATAATATATCTACATTTCCACAAACAGTGCATTATCTAATGGTACACAGCCTGACTTTGAGATATCATCTATTGCAGAGCATACCTTTTACTGCTCCTGCATTTATGATCTGGACATGAATAAAAACATCCTTTAAATATACAACTAATGTTAAATCTGAAGGAAGAAGTAAATAATCTAAAGAAAAAGGCAATGAAAATGGTAAGTTAAGAGCTATGAAGAGAGAGGATAAATACAAATTGTTCAGCTATAAGAAAATGCACACACACAAAAAGGATATGTCAGTGTTTCTGCCCTGGGACAGACAAGGGATGCAAAAGTAAGTACTGAGGTACTGAGCTTCACCCCAGCAGAAGAATCTGTTCCATTAATAGTCTTATTATCCAGAAAGGAGTCGGCCTCACAAGTGCACATTTAGAGACACAGTTGAGATTTTAAAATCCCACAGCGTTGATAATATCTGGGATTCAGCAGCAAACAAGCACCCACACTTTTAATCGGTGAGGCTTTTACGATTGAGTGTTGACCAATACGAATGCAATGCTGGATGAGCTGGTTTTTACAATGAAGTACAATACACTCAAGAGCAAACAGAAAAATATACATGTTGATACAGTGCAGTTTTTGAGAGGATGGGGGCAGGTTTTTCCTGGTAATCTCTAATTGCTCAGGTCTACCCTGTTTTCACAACTTATTTTCAGTGTGAGGTAGTTCAGGGCATGTATTTTTGTCTTGAGTATCTGCAAATCTTCAGCTATTGTAATATTTTGCTTTGAGTTCTCCTTTTTTTTTTCCACCTTGTGTGAGTGGTAGATTGTGTTTCTCCAGTGGAAATTTCCAGTATTTCTGTATGTAGTGTAGGATAAGTTGTTTTTCACAAAGACAGCAGTTGAACAGAGACTGGGGTGTTTTGACCTGCACAGAATTGGCACAGGCTTTAGGTAAGGTAATTAGGTAGGGTAGGGGAGAGCCTAGCATACGACAGAACAATTTTTGGAAACACTGTCCTTCTGTTACCATAAAAAGTACAGAACATACCTAGAAACAATAGGTTGGCAGCAGACGTTGTAGGAAACGTAACGTAGCAACAGCGTAGGGAAGATTGTGAGCCAGAGACACTCAACCAATGAGTGGCAGGAGGACCCAGCGGCTGTGTTGGACCCAGGCTATAATGGAATGGATTTCACTGATTAGGTGAGCAATTCTCCCTTTCAGTAGGGGGTGTGCTACCATAACTGCAGTAATGAATAAGCTGCTCTCCACAGAGATCTTTGCCTGATTAGAAATTTTTGATCTTGAGAGCGTTTCTTACACTTATGATCAGTGAAGACTGAAAACATGTATGATTCAGATTTAAGCAGGTGAATATAGCAAGCTACTAAGACTTTAGGCCCTGGGAATCAAGCCCAACGAGAATCTCTCATAAATAGGAATCTTTCTTCAATATGTTCACTGTGCCGTGGTTTGGCCTTTTGCTCAATTTACTTTACATACTCAATCGAATGAGTTATTTGAAGTGTGCTTTTTACATGGAGACTTCATCTCATGTAAGCAGCTGGATGCAAATGAGTGGCAACATGTAGTCAGTGCAGCAGTGAAAGCACGACTGTCATTAATTTGATTGAAATTCTTAATTTAGAAGAGTTCTGGGCTTTTAATCAGAACAGAAGTCAAAGACGATCTGGAAATGAAAGACATTTTCTGGCTTTCTCTTAAAGCTCAAAAAGAACAAAATCCCAGAAAAATGAATCCTAGTAAAAATGCCCCACAACAACCTAATGCAGTTTCCCCAGCACATTTCTGGGATAACTCTCTTCATTACCTTTAGAAAGGTGACTGAAAAGAAGTGGTAAGAGACAGAAGACAGAAAAGCAATCCTGGTTAACTACACCTTATTTACACTACTTTCCCAAATCTTCCACAGTTGCAAGTCACTTTGGCAGTGAGAGCAGAAATCCTGCTGCACACAATTCTTTTATCATAGTGAAATCATGATTTTTCAACAGACTGAACAGTAAGACCTCCCTCAAGGCAACTTCATGGTAGTGTTATCTGCAAAGTGCTGATTTAGATCTACTCAGAACAAAATGGGCGAATGTAGTGGTTAAAGGCTGCCACTCTCCTTACGTTAAAGGTAATGCCTCCATCTTTCGAGTTGCCATTACAGCCATGCCATCACTATTCCTCAGAACCAGAGAGCCATCTGAAGGACAGCTGGTCTGGACAGAGTCGTCAGCTGTATTACGTGTCCAAGCTGAGTTCTCAATTATAAAGGAACTACCACAGAATGGACTGAGCAATGACTGAGCAACAGTTGAGCAATGACTATCGGGCAAGTGATGGCATGAAGCAGTAACTGGCTTCTGGTTTTAGGTATGACTGCTACAGAAAAGTTACCTTTATATGAAACTGTGATACCTACTGCCAAGGAAAAGGGGAAAACATAAGGATGTAGAGTGAGCTTTGAAGAATTTCCCTAACAACAGTCATGAGCCAGAATTGCACATTCAGCACTGTAACCATATCTACAGCACAGAACATAACGCTGTGCAAATAACCAAGATCATCCAGGTATTAAAAGCAGTACAACCATGTATACACAGCAGCCTGCTGGAGTCAATTTAAAGTACCTTGGCTATTTAACTGCACAGAGGAATACTACTGCCCAGTATTAAAGCAATCTTGGAATAAATCAGACATTTTGGTTTATACGCTGAAGTTGTAATGTTTGTTTTAGTGTTCAATTGTTTTGAAAACTTTGTAGTTCAAAAATCTTCTTTATACAAAAGTTAGCATGTACTACTACCATCATTCATCACCTTTAGTCATGATACGTGGTCTGAACCACAGATTTGCTGTACCCTAACTTCCACTTTGTAGTAAGTAGTGTTTTCTTGCATTGAATCTCACAACATAACCTGTTTAATCTATAGTGGATAACAATGTTAGAATCTTATGACTGATCTTTTTTTTCTAATCCTTATGTATTTACTTTATTAATACAGATCCACCACAGATGAATAATGTTATGCCAACATCCCCCCTCCTTCCTCAGATGGCACATCAACACTCATATCCCAGCTTGGGACAGATCACAAACCCATACGAGCAACAGCCCCCAGGCAAAGAGCTTAACAAGTACGCCTCCCTAAAGGCAGTCGGTAAGTCAGTAACATCATGCATGACTTCTGCTATCCCACAGCATGCTGCATTTTCTGCTGTCAGCTGACATTCTGCTTCAGTTAAAAACGAACTCTTGCTCTTTTTGACTGCTTCATTACAGAATTCGTCCATTTTCATATCACGTTAGTTGGAAATGTATAAAAAATGAACAGGGGATCTACAGTTAGAAAATTGTATATAAGAATTGGTGATCATATGCATATGCCTAAATATTCATAAAAAAACATGACATACCTTCACTATTTTCAGTAAGTTTCACCTACACTGTATGGTGTTCAACTCCAGTTCTATCTGCCCTCAACATGCCTATGTGCACACTTCAGTAGGTATTTTCCGCATCTATCAGTACAAATAAGAACAGTATCAGATATGTTGCAGATTTAAGACACCTGCTGAGTACTTGGTAGAGGAGACAAACTTGAATGCTTCAGAAGTAATAGCTTTCACACATTTTCTGCAGAATGTGCATTCACAGATCACCAGATGAACAGGCCTTACAATGCCCAATGATTAGTGTATCACAAGGGTCCTAACAAAGATCCTAGTGTTGGCTTTTCTTCTGCTACTGGTTAATGTTATACAGTACTATTTAATAGAATGAGGAAATGACTTCAAATAAACAGTTATGGAAAGAGGACAATAGTTGATAAACACAGCAACATAACTTTCACCTTAGAAGCATAAATTCCTTGTACTTTTCAGGAGCTGTAAATACTGGCTGCACATCATGCAATTACAGAAAGCCTTTCTCAACTTACATGTTGAGACTCTGATGGACCACAATTAATGAGGAACTTCTCAGACTTAGCTAGTCAAGCTTTTGATTCCAGTGAATTTTCACAGGAAATATAAAAAGTCACTGCATTGTTATCCACACTTATCAGCAGAAAACACTAGAGATGTTTGAACTTATACATTCAGAACTCTTCTCTGGCCTTACACAACCAGTTGGAGACACTCAGTGTTTAACTGCTTCCAGACTTTCAAGGCCAGATTCACCTCATGAGCACCTCTCAAGATCACAAAGCAGTTTTCCCAAGGTCCCAGCCAACCTAGGGCCTGGGATCATGCAGACACCAAGCTGGCCACACCACACATGGCAGAATTCATTCCGGCTTTATAAGACCTCTGAGAGAAAACAGTAACTGGCCCACATCAGGCTCACCATGCAAATATAACCTGATCACAACTCAACTTTTCAACAAGTGAACACAGACTAAGTTCACCGCAGCCTGGTATTCGTGTCAGAGGGCCATGACATTTTTCACATAATGCCATTTAGAGTCAGATTTACTGAATCACGTAGTAGGTTAATAAGCCCATAAATTTACATTTATAGATAGCAGCTAGAGGGTACATTCAGTTGCCACAACAGAAATTTATTAATAAAGGATACGTTCTGTATCTCTTCTTGCATTTGAGGAAAACCACATTCATTTAAGTGCCTCTCAATCTGCACAATCCCATTGTTCAGTTGTAGTCCAGCATGCTTAATTCTCTTCTTTAAGGAGGAGGTGGGTGGCAGCAGAAGCGTTCCTATAGGCTTCTAGCAACTGGAGTTGTATTATATTAATATCACCCATCATAATGTGGCCACAACTAGTAAGAAGTTTAGATAAGTTTAGATAAGTTTCAGCTTAGATAACTGAAAAAGTGATGTTTTACCAGAGGCAGCATTAAATTAACTTCCACACAGTTGCTTTCTTCTGAACTACAGGTGTCCTGAAAATTTGGCTATAAAATTTTTGAAGTGAGCCACTTATGACGGCTCCTATGAAAATTCAGATCATGGAAGTAACACGTCAGAGTACTCTTGGTTCTGGATCCCATTCAGGATCAGCATTAAACTCAGTATCTAAAGCTGAAATGTTCCTGAAAACAAGAGACAGCAGTGCCACTGGTATTAATTTACATCGTGTTAGTGAAGGAGAATAACCAATACCTTGGAGGTCAGGCCAAGTTGACTCCTAAGAAGCTATTTATAAGTTACATCCTATACTCCAAGTCTTACAGCTTAGCAGGGTGCAACACAGTGTGTGCATTGCAGAGTGGTTGATTCAGCACAACAGGGGAAAAGAGAGCTGACAAGGTCAATATGGATGCTTTTTATTCAAGAAGTAAAATGCTTTTATGTGAGCCACTTTAAACTACACACCCAAATCCTTACACTCTCAATATAAGAGAGTATCTTCCTCAATTCGAAGTTATGAATTTACTTGTTGCAGCTTCCAGAATTCCTTAAGTACTGACCGGCAACCACTGGCCAAATTTACCTTTTCCTCTTAGCATCTGCTACCATTTACATCTCTGAATAACAGATGGACATTCTATACTTATTCTATATTCTCAGATGAGTGCTTTAAGAGCAACGAGAGAATAGTGAGCTAAGATTTATTCGTTGATTTCCTCACTGCAGCAGAATTTCTCACTCCTTCTACCTTAACACATACATCACCAGGGAGCAATTAGCAGAAGGCAGAGAGCCCTTGTAAATGAGACGCAGCAACATGCATTTCCCAAAAGAACAGATAAGAGACCCATCTCCTTGCATCCTTAGCCTACCTCTGATTTGCTCTTGCACTCTGTTAATCCATGAGCTGTCCATTTTTTCAGCTAGAGAATTGTTTTTCACTTGTGCTCAATTTCTCCCATAAGGGAATATCAGAGATTTTATCTGAGGGAAAAGGGTTATCAACCTCTTACTTAAGCCTTAATCTTACTTAAGATTAGACCATCAGAAGTGGTCACTGTTTGGATATTTCAATATTTTGGTCACCTGAGATGACTTGATCCTGGTTTCCTTCAGTGCTTTGCAGTATTTGACTATTTGTGTTAAAACTGACAAAAGTGTTCACTTCTGCACAAATTATTCTTATTTCCAGTTCATTAACCATGCTTTTACTCTATGCTTAAATGGTTATTGTTCACTTAAGCAATCCTGACATGCCTAATGCTACAAGGATGGAGATCCTGTATATAAACACCCCTATGAAATTCAAACCCCAGGGCATACAACATTAGCTCATCACAAATTCATATAGACCTCATTTGGATATTCATTCCAAAAGCATGTACAGTTCAACCTCAAGCTCCATTCTGCTAAACTGTAAGAGCTGGAATCCACCTGGTAGCTTAATAAGAGTTTCTGAGATCTCAGACCAGCCTCAGTATCCCATGGTATTAATCATACCTGTTCAGTCACACAGCCAAGCTCACTAACAGTTAATTTTCTTTCCCAAGTTTCACAGAGCACAAAGTGATCCAATTGTTTTACAGTCTCTAGCAAAAATAATACCCCAAATCCAACATTTTAAGCTGCACAGGACTGGAAGAAAATATCACTTAGTTGCTGGAGTGATGCATGTAAAAATTGAGAAAATAAATATTTCTGTAACTTATTATGACTTTTTATTTCTTTTATAAACTTCCTTTTTCCTCTCTCTTACCCACACATGCATACACAAACATCTGAGGAACTGACAGGGCATGGCTTAATAGGAGATGATCAGTTTAATTTTTTGCCAAAGGAAATTCAATGGACAGAATTCCTACCTGAAATTCTAACTGATAAAACTGTCAGTGATGCTGGGAGCTGTAGTCTCCTGTGGAATTAAATCAGATGTAACTGATTTAATACAGTGAAACTGAAGGAGAATATAATTAGGAGCAGTCTCACCATCACATATCAGAGCATACAGCTCACAGCATTTTTTGAAACTCCACAGTTCTCTGATCCCAAAGGGAAATTAGACAGTGCCCTAGCTCTGCTTGCAGCTGCAAAACTCTGACGTGAGATTCTGCAAGTCTGATACTGAAAGAGTAAATATGTACTGTTTAGGTCACTGCTACTATTGTAGATAGTATTGCAGCTACTAGTACAAGCCAACAGCTCCCTCAAAAAGCTGAAGAACATGGAAAATTGTCCAGTCTGTTTGCTCTTTACATCTACACATACAAAGGAAATTATTGTAAGTTTAAATTTAAGGTGATGTCCTTAAACCATCCTCCTATCTAGAGGGAAATATGGTGATTCCTTCTAAAGCTTCCAATCTTCAGTGTCTACCAAAATGACTGTAACTATGTGCAGATACAGGATATCTTAAGAGAACAGGCATGACTTCACAGCTGCCCCTGAGAAGCTGATAGTCGTCTCACTAGAAGAGATTCTGTATAGGTTGTTCTGCTGTTTTAGGGGCCTTTACAGAAAGACAGGGAGAGCTGGAAAGAAACACCACAACTGGAAAAATGACAAGACACAACAGGGAATTGTATACAGATTCACAGAATCTGATGCAGATGATTTTTAGAAAAAGTAGAGTTACAGAACGGTAGGATAAAGTATGTTTGTGTAACTTTACTTTCCCTATTACCAAACACATTGTTTCACTGACAGGTGAATACTCATGTTCCTTTGGAAGGCTTAAAAAGGAAGTGCTTTCATTTTGGAAAGAGATCTTCAGCTACTAATACTGTACAAAAATGGCTTAAAAAATCTGAGACATGGAAGCAGCTCTCTGGATTTAACACCTCTAAAACAGAGAAGTACAGATCAACGCATCATTTGTCATATCTAGAGGGTTAATGAGTTATTTTTGGTGTCATACACAATGCTAGACTAAACAATCTGCTTGATTCCGCACCAGAGCTATCTCAAGGAAGTATGACATAAAAGTCTGATATCTATCCTCTATCATTATTCACTCAACCAAGTGCAACTAGAAAATTGGAAGCTTTTGGGTATTCCTATGCTAAGGAAGTCTTCCATACTTTAATCCTTGCTTCTCCTTAAAAAGCAGCATCGAATAGCAAGCCTCACTTCACTGCCTCTCTGCTAGCACTGTTTGCTCACCCTTCCATTTCCTGTGAAGGGTGAGTGTCAATGAAGAACGAGTTACTCCATCAGTGGCTTTCTGCTGAGATCCTCCCAAACTTCATATACAGACTGCCATGTACAAGCTTTTTCTTGCTTCTACTAAAT